TCGTAATAAATTCGTAATGTTTCATAACAATCAATTTGTGATTTGGTTGCGAGCGTTATTAAATTTTCATAGCAACTTTGTAAACTCAAAGTCATTCTTCGTTTTTCCAGTTAATATACCCAAATCGTACAGTTAATTTCAAAGACTCAAAAGTTTTATTATTGGGTTAGGTCAGTGTTTAACCTGTCAGTTCTTGTTTTCGCTGATCTACTCATTTCCCCTTGGTTTTTTAGCGACGATGACGATTGGGTAGTAGTTAGCTCACCAGATATCGAGAAGTCTGTAATACAGACGGATGTAAGATACTCGGTAAAGTTAATGAAAAATTTTTTCCTAAGCTAAGTTGGAAGTTATATTTTTAGCAAATGTTTTTAATAACTAATGTTTTATATTTGCTAGTAACTTACTGATTTTGGAACTCTTTAGGTCGGTGGTTGTTGCGTTAATGATAATGGTTCATACGGATTGAAAGAGTGGTTACGAACTGGTTTGCCAAAACTTCGAACCCATGATGCTACCTTTGCTGCGATTTTGAATGGCTTTCAACTTCTGGATTTTTTGCTTCCTTTGTACGATATAGTACCTCCTTGTAAGGTAGGATTATGCAAAGCATTTTTCAGCTGTGCATTTGAAATCTGATTGTTTCGTTTGTAAGTTCTTATTTGTGGAACTTGACAATATCTTTTATGAATGCTTTTTGTATCGGGTAGTTCTAATATTCCTTTATAACAATACTGTGACTGTAAATTTTAGATATGGGTGAGTAACGGTGCTTTGAAAAAGTTTTCTTCTGCTTTATCGTCAAAGATAATGACAGATTTTTTGTATAAATGCTTATTTTTCAGACCTCTATGCGTGAAGTGGCATTATGTGAAAGGTGGACAGACGATTTACTGGATACTGATTTATTGAAACTGAATGTTTCTATATTTTTATTTTGTGTCAAGTTGGGCATCCATGGGTTGAATGTTCATCGTCCTTTCGCCAATCTTTTGAACCTTTCGACATCTTTGATCAACGATTTTCGTGTTGAGGTTTCGAATTCTACATTCTTTTTAATTTATCAACTTTGATCTTATTTTAAATCGTGTTCAGTGTAAACTTCCTTTTGATGTTTAAATCCACATTATTTTGACTGCTAAATTAACTTTCTTCTAGTGGACTTTTGATTCTTCGCATACTGTAACTCTCTTTTGCAGACTAAACCATTACCATTAACGCCAGAATCATTAAGTGAAGTTGAAGACTGCTATAAAGAATTAAAGAAGTGGGTTGAAAGAGACGCAGCAAAGGTAATGCTTCTAAGAGTGTAATTGATTACACATTGGAATATTTAATTCCAATTAATTTAGCCGAGTGCTGTAAAGCGTCCAAACCTTTATTTCTACACACTTTCAAGTTTTCTTTTTTTTTTTTTTACTTTTGAGAAGGATACTCTTTACAAAAAAAAGTGATATTTTTGGATATTTTGGAGGTATTTTGTTCTCTGGTTATTTCTTTGGAATATAGACTTGGAATAATTTGCCTGCTGGAACAGTGACTTTTCTGAGGTGAAATATGATTTGTTAAATGCCATCTCTTTATCTTTTTAGACTTATAGCTTTCTTATCTGCGATAGGCATGTGCTTATTTTTTCAACTAGTAACAATCATATCGTGCTGTTAAAAAATATGACAAGTATTCGAGTTGTGAATAGCAAGATCTTTGGCTCGGAACTTTTTTTTTTTCAGGAGTAGGAATTAATTATAGCCTGCTAATGAAGCGGAGTATCTTCAGGAAGTGAGTTAGACGAGGTTGCAACGTGCATTTAGATCTATTAGGATTTGAGGTTGAACTATTGTAGCGTTGGAAGTGAAAAGAATTTTTCTTTTTCCTACCGTCTAGAAGTGATTCCATTAATTCTTTCAAAATTTCAACTTTTTGAAATTTTCAAGTCAAGAAATGTAGTCAGCCACGAATATCGCGTTTCATCAAGAATTAATTTCGCCTTTGAACGTCACGGTATAGTCGAGAAGCTTTTACTACATGATGCAGCGAATTTGGTTTATAAAAATGACTGTGTGGAAAATAATAAACCAAACAAGTAGGAAGCGCATTTCTGGGTGGTCAGGAAACTACTTGATGGCAATTTCTTAAGTAGCCTCTGCAGCGTTCCAACATATCGTAATCTCATACAGGCCATTTTAGTTTAACAGATGTTAGACTGTACGAGTGTCATTCATCGTTGAAATTTCTTGATTTTTTTTACGGTTTTAAGATGTAGTTACCGCAGACGAGGTTCTTTTGAGTTGTACTTTGCTAGACTGCAAGAATGATATGTGAATTTCAATCAGAAAATCAATTCTTGGAATCCGTAGTTTTTTGTTTCTTTTCTGTAAATCTGATTTGACAGCTTCTGTTCGTCACAGCATCTATCCTCATCTGAACAGCTTAGTTTTACACACTTTCTAATTACAGTTCTGATTTACCTTTACATGGAACAGGAAGTAAGCGTCATCATTACTGATTTTCAGGATGCGGGGAAACCAGAGGTGTTTATCTAGAAGAAAGGACTTCAACACATTTTGATTTCCAAGCTTTCGCTCCCACTAACAACAGTACGATTTGATAACAGTAGCAACAACGAGAACGTAAAGAGAACCTTTGGCAATAAAATATTTTGAAACTCAGAAAAATAGCGGGATTTTTGTGCAGTAATCGAGGTGACTGGCTGACATTTGAGGGATATAAATATATATACATAAGAACGAGCTTCAGATGTGGAAGGCGAAAAGAATAGTTGAATCAAAAAATAGAGATTATATTTTTTACTGAAAGTTTCTACCTGTACGCTGAAAAGCTTCACTCATGGTTTGGAAATAAGTGGAGTATTTTTGTTTTTAAAGGTCGTACCGCGGGAAAGCGAAAAAGTCTTGCAGAAGGATGTCTAAGCGTTGCAAAGCAGACGGCCAGTGAATCTGTAGGGGAGCAGTTTCATTAAAAGGAGTGTGGTGGTTGTTTGATTCTCATTTAAAGCGTAAAGTTTGCTTAGCAGCCAAAGGGAGAGACTGTTTTTTTCATGCAAGTTTCTGTATGTATATGTTTGTTTGGGGTAGTTGTTGAGAGTGGACGTAGTTAAGAATAGCTCTGATTTCATGGAGTGCAAGGGAATGCCGGTTTAAGGCTGCATCAATTTCGTAACTCGTTCAGAGAATACATTGCTGGGGATTTCTCGGAAGGGTAGTCAACATTCTGTCAAGGCTCACTTACAGAGTAATTTTAGGTTTTTGAAGATTGAAACTTCCAGTTGGAGTCTGCCATTATATTTTGAATTTTATCAAAATTCCAGAATGAAATTGACGTTTGAAACTGGAAGGATTTATTTAAAAAAACTTGATTTAGATTTTGGGGTTTCTTAGCGATCAAAAGGAAAATCGTGTCAGATCTTTCTGGCTTCAGCGAAGCCAAAATTAAATGTTCATTTTGCCTTGTCGCCGTGCGCTCAGTGTATTCATATGTGGTGGAATTTTTTTAGGTTTTGAGGTAAAACTCTTGCAATTTCGAAATAGTTGTAGAGAAACAGTTTAATTGGCTAGGAAATTTTATGATGCGCTTGTTAACCATCAAACATATTGTTGCTACTGTATGTACACTGATAGCCAGAAGGGTAAGTATTGAAAGACACTGGTTGCAGTTGCTTATAATTGTTAAGTTTTTTGTTCAGTTCTTTGATAATGAATATAGAAGTAGTATTTTAGCTTTGTTACTTTGAGTGTTTCATTGAATCTCGGTCAAAAGGGTTTTTTAAATCAAAAGTTATGGATAAAGAGGTGGTAGACGACGTACAGTCATCAGTATTATTGTCAGAAGCATGGTCTGAAACTTATGATTGCTGAGTTTTTGTCTTAAGTTGCTACACGGAGTATCAAAAATGGGCTGATAATTTACTGAGTCTAGTAGGCTTTGGGAAAACATGAAGGGTTATACCTCGCTTAGCAGACAGATTGAGCGAAGACTGTGAGAGAAATAGCAGTATTTATACTGTGGGAATTTTTACGAACTAGAATTATTAGCAAAATCAGTTTCCACTGAGCCTAGAATTACAGTCGAAAATGCTGGGGAAAGAGATTATCTCTTTTTTGTGTAGACTTTCTAGAGTTGTTTTTTTAAGATCTAAGAAATGGGTTTTTTTCACATTTATTTCACGATCTCTGCCTGAATAATGCTACTGTTTAGTTCTTAAGTGCTATGGAGTGGAGTAGGAAAAACAGCTAAATATAAAATTGGTGACTTGTCGAAACTGATTTTAAATGTCAAAATTTTGAAGGTGTTGTAAATGTGATTTTGAAAAACTGGTTTATTAGTGTCATCTGCTAGCTAACAGAAAGTGGAACAGTTCAGGTAATCTTCAGTAGACAAAACGTAAACAACTGTATACTATTGGAATAAGAAGAACAGCTGTAGGTTGTTGTAGTAACAGAAAAATAAAGGTGTTAGCAATCTATGCTTTCAATTGTCTAACTTTCAGGTGTTTATTATTTTAAATTAAGTTTTCCTTATTTGGCTTTAAAGGTAATTTTAAAAATTATTCAAAATGAAAACTTAAAATTTTTGTTGGATTTGTCAGTAAGGTATAAGTAGAGAGTTGAAATTAACAGGCATGATTAAGATGAAAAAGAATTTTTCCACTACAAGTCAGTTTTTTTCTGCTAATACATTAGTCGTTTATCGAACATCTTGTTTTGACCAGCTAATAATTTCTTTAGTTGAGGAGAGACGAAAAACAGATGTCACAAGTTAAAGACAAAAAAAAAAAAAAAAATGAGTCAAGGAAGAAAACTAAAGAGAATGTTTATGATGGAGGATTACTTTGTATTTCATTTTTTTTCTGCATTCATCTGCCTAAAGTAATTTTTATTCCGGTCGTTAACAAAAAGACACTGATTTTTTTTCCTTCCTCTGCCGACTATAGTATGATAAAAATAATCAACGAGACGCCTCAAACGCTTGTTTAATGCGGTAGGAAACTACCTTGGCAAGCTGCAGATTATGGCGTAAACTTCTATAAGGCGGTTTTTGCTTTATTTGGCACTCTTGAAGTGGTGGAGCAAGTTGGATGCGCTTTTTTGTTGAAGTTTTTCGTTTCTGTTGTCGCTCAGTTAATAAAGTTCATTTCAGCTAAAACAAGTCGATGACATTTTTGGTTTTTTGTCTTTGGCAGTTTGTTTACGGAATGCAAAATGAAAAGCTTATGGACGCTCCTGCAAACTTTTTCTCTTTCGTTCACAGTTAATTGGTGATTGATAGCACAAATACTTTATATTCCTTACAAAATGCCAGTTGAAAAAACAATGTTTTATGAGCTTGAAAAAAGTTTTATTGATTTAAAATTAAGCATAGATTTTGCTATAATTTAATTGTTGATGGTATCATTCCAGTGGTCGTATTTCTGAATTATCGTATTTGCTGGCGATGGACAAAAAAAAATTTTTTATTACAAATTTTGGCTTTTGATCTATTTACTTCTGACCTTTGATCTTGGAAGTTGTTGTTTTATACTGAAATATATAAATTAAAGGATGTAACTGTTTTATGTTTGGCAACTAAATTGTAGTTCTTGTTGTAATAATAGCAGTATCTGGAACCCGAAGATTTTGGACTTATATCGCGTTTATATGGACCACAAAATATTGTTTGGAATTTACATACCAAAAAAAATTTAAAAAAAAATTTTTGTTTCATTTTTGGTTAGGATATTTTTAGAACATTGAATAGGAGTCTTAGAATTTTTTTGAGAAATTTGCACAGTTTCTTCTGTGTAATGCAAAAAATCATGAAGAAAAAAATAATTTTTGCTTTTTTTAAACTATAAAACTAAGCTGAGCTTGAACAGACTAATAAGGCTTTTGTTTGTTTGTTTTCCCTGCCATTTATTGGTAATTATTGTAACCTTTTTTTTTTT